GCAGCACTCCTCGCTTGGCAACCCCCCCCCCGGGTTTCCCGCCACGGTCGTCTTTGCCGCCTCCGCAGCCTGCTGCTGTGGACTCTGGAGCTGAGACTACTAGAGCTGAGACTGGGGGTGGTGAGTCTGGGGGTGCCCACTCTCCTCGTCTGGCTACCCCCCCCAGGTTCCCACCTCTGTCGTCTTCGCCGCCTCTGCAGCCTACTGCTGTGGACACTGGAGCAGAGACTGAGGGTACTGAGCCTGAGGGTGCTGGGACTGAGGGTGCTGAGACTGAGGGTGCTGAGACTGAGGGTGCTGGGACTGAGGGTGCTGAGCCTGAGGGTGCTGACTCTGGGGGTGCTGAGACTTCGGGTGCCGACTCTGGGGGTGCCGCGAGTCCTTCTGGAGGTCCTGGAGCTAGAGGTACTGGAGCTACTAGGCCTTGAGGTCCTACTGGAGGTACTAGAGGTACTACTGGTGCTGGAGGTACTGGAGCTGCTGCTGGTGCTGGAGGTGCTGGAGCTGGAGGTACTAGAGGTGCTTCTGGTGCTGGAGGTGCTAGAGCTACCACCACTAGAGGTACTAGAGTTGGACAGCCACCGCAGCCTGCTCTACTCGAGACGCTCTCGTCGCAGGCGATTCGTGCGTGGGTCGTTCTGCAAGGCAGTCCTGGTGGTGGAGGGTACAGTCCTGCTGGTGCTAGAGCTACTAGTCCAGGAGGTGCAGCTGGTGCTGAAGGTGCTGGAGGTACTACTGGAGGAACTAGAGGTGCTGCTGGTGCAGGAGGTACTGGAGCTGCTAGTACTGGAGGTGCTGCCGGTGTTGGAGGTACTAGAGCCGGAGGTACTGGAGCTGCTGGTGCTGGAGGTACTACTGTTACTGGAGGTGCTGGAGCTACTGGCACTGGAGGTGCTGGTGCTACTGGTGCTGGAGCTGCGGGAGCTGCTGACCCTGGAGGTGCTGGTGCTGCTGGTGCTGGAGGCGTTGGCGCTGGAGGTCCTGGAGGTGCTGGAGCTACTGGTCCCGGAGGTGCTCGTACTGGAGGTGCTGGAGCTGCGAGAGCAGGTGGTACTGCTGGTGCTGGAGGTGCAGGAAGTGCTACTGGAGCTGCTGGCACAGGAGGTACTGGAGGTACTACTGGTGCTGGAGGCGCTAGAGCTGGAGCTGGAGGCACTGGAGGTGCTGGAGGTACTACTGGTGCTCGAGGTGCTGGTGCTGTCGGAGCTCGTGGTGCTGGAGGTGCTGGTGCTACTGGTGTTGGAGGTGTTGCTGGGGGTACTGGAGGAGCTGCTCGTGCAGGCGGTACGGGAGCTACTGGTGCTCTTCGCCACCTTCTCAGTCTTCCGCCGGGTGCTACTGACTTCCCTGTGGCAGGTACTACTCCTTAGTTACTGTTTCCACCGGCGGACCAGTCACAGCCGCCGCTGCTACCGCACTCCCCACTGCCTGCTCCCGCTCCTTACACTGCGGTGTCAGAGTCCCTGACTGAGCGTCGAGAGCCTGAGACTCATGCGTCCACCCTTGAGCGTTGAGAGCCTGAGTCTAGCTTTGACCTTGAGCCTGAGCCTAGAGCTACTGTCGGTGCTCGTGTTCCTCGTGTTCGTCGTCCGCGTGCTCCGGCTGTCCCCAGCACTCTCGATATGACACTCTGTCCTTCCTCTGTTCCACAGCGTGCTGTCCTACCGTTACCTCCTGCGTCCTCTCTTCCTGACGTTGCTGACCCTCCGTCTGACCATGCTCGTGCGTCCAGTCCAACTGTTACTCGCCTTCTTGCTACGGTTGTGACGGACCCTACGTTCTCGTCTCCTGCTGCGTCTGCCCTCATAGCTGAGCTCGTTGACTTTGCTTTTGTGTGCCGCCTAGACTACCTTGTGAGTCTTGTCTCTGACCCTGTCCCTGCCTGTCCTCCGTCCGTCGGGGGTGAGACTGCTCTTGGCTGTGACGTTCTTGAGGACAGATAGGAGGAGTTGGAGTGCCTTGCTGCCGCTTCACCTGTGGAGAAATGAGGAATGGATGAACTAGGAAAGAGGTGGGTACAAGTAGGAAAACCTAGAAATGTTGTACCCCATATTGTCTACCCCACTACAGCCTACACAGACTATAGCATATAAGTTTGACACACCCCCATAGGCAAAGTGGGGGAGAACAAGAGGTCACAAGACCAGTCAAGCAAAGCAAAGCAAGCTCAGGGTGGATCACAACGTCACCACACAGTCCGAGCACAAGTTCAAGGCCACAAGGCCAACTCACATGCAAGATCATATATAAAGGTAAACAGGCAAGTGCAGGTATAGAAAGATCACAGTACAAGCAAGGTCAAGAAGTGAGCAAGTGAGGCCAAGTAGGCACAAGACCTTGCATCGTACAGAAAGCGCTGATGATCACAAGGCGGAAGTGCCTTGGTAAAGATATCAGCAGTGTTGGCCTCAGAGGCCACGTAAGCAAGGCGCAGCTAACCACGCTGCTGCAGCTCACGAGCAAGGAAGTAGCGAAGAGCAATGTGCTTTGTTCTGTGCTCCAGTCTGTGCTCCCGACACAAGGCCATCATGGCCTTGTTGTCTACGTACAGAACTGGAGGAGAACGAGGCACCTCTCCAAAGTCAGTCAGCAGGTAGGTGAGCCAACGTAGCTCCTATGCAGCCATGGCCCCCGCGTAGATCTCAGCCTCACAGCTGGAGCCGAGAACAGAAGACGAGCGGGTAGACCGCCACGAAACAGAGCCGGAACCAAGGCTGAAGGTGTAACCCTGTGACGACCGCTGCGTAGCCTTGTCGTCAGCCCAAGAAGCATCTGCGTGACCTGTGAGGACCACTGGACGTCGCCCTCCAAGCACTAGCCCCATGCCTGACGTACTGCACAAGTAGCGCAACACCCTCTTCACTGCAGCCATGTGCTCTGGTTGGTGTCTCCCAGGAGCAACAAGGCGTGCCAAGATGCTAAGAGGGTATGCAAGGTCAGGTCGTGCGCAGGTCATCAGGTACATGAGGCAGCCAACAAGCTCTGGGTACGGGCCACTCGGCTCTACGGACTCATCCGAAGGCAGAGCTGAGAGCGAGTGGCGAGTAGACAGAGGAGTGGCCTGAGGCGAGGAGTACGTGAAGTCGAAGCGCTGAAGGACATGCTGCACCATGTGTGACTGAGTCAGGGTAATGGTGCGCTTTGCTCTGTCCCGGGTGATCTGCAAGCCAAGGTAGCTACGAAGTTCACCCAAGTCTGTGCACGTGTGTCTCTTCTGCAGCTCGGACTTCACGTGGGCGAGTCCAGCAGTGTCAGCAGTGGCAAAGACCAAGTCGTCGACGTACACGAGGATGTAGAACGGCGGCAAAGAGGTGTCGGTGCGCAAAAACAGCGACGGGTCGGTAGTAGAAGGAGCAAACCCAAGAGCCGCAAGTGTAGTCCTCAGTGTGTCGTGCCACTCACGGGGCGCCTGGCGGAGACCGTAGACTGGCCACTGGAGGCTCCACAGGGTAGCAGGGGGAAACGACCCGGTGAAGCCAGGTGGGCGGCGCAGCCAAATCTCCTCGTGCATGCTGCCCTGCAGGAAAGCTGTGCTGAAGTCAAAAGAGTGAAGCTCATAGTCGCGCTGAGCGGCTATGTGCAGCAGTACCCAAAGAGTGGTCATCTTCGGGGTGGGAGAGAAGGTCTGAAAGTAGTCAACTCCCTGCCGCTGACTGAAGCCTCGAGCCACGTAACGCGCCTTGAAGACAGGCGGAGAACCCGGCGGCCGCTTCACCCTGAAAATCCACATGCCACTGACGATGTTCGCCCCAGGTGGGGGAACCTCGTCAACGTAGGTGCCTGTGGACTTCCAGGAAGCCATCTCTGCGTCCATGGCTGACTGCCACTGTGAGGAGTAGGGACCCTCGATCGCCTCAGCGTACGATCGAGGAGTCGGGATGTCTGGTGCATCCGGGTCTCCCTCAGGAGCACTCAGCGTGGACAAAAAATGAGGCAAAGCAGCAACAAAACACTGGAACTCCTCCTGCCTGTCCTCAAGGACGTCCGTGCTAAGAGCACACTCACCCCCAACGGACGGAGGACAGACAGACTCAGACTCAGCAACAAGACTAGCAGCGTAGTCTAGACGACAGCGAGCAGCAAAGTCGACAAGCTCAGCAACTAAGGCAGACGCAGCAGTGGACTCAAAGGAAGGGTCGGTGACAACAGTAGCCAGGAGACGCGTGACAGTAGGACTGGCAGCACGAAGAGAGTCAGACTCCGGGTCAGCAAGGACAAGAAGAGAGGACTCTGGAGGAGACATCAACGGGACACGCAAAGGAGCAGTGGAAGGATGCAATGCCATCTTGTGTGTGCCTGGGACCGTAGGAGGACGCGGACGCGGAGCACGACTACTAGTCCGAGCAGCACGAACAGGCGACGCAGGACGAGACGCAGGCTCACGACGCTCAGCAAGACCTCCAGTAGGACCAGTGTAGGGAGAAGGAGTAGGCAGGGGGGAGGCAGGCTGTAACTGTGACCGCGACTGGACAGGCTGTGGACACTCTAAGGGAGGAGCAGGACCAGTAGAGGGCGTGAGACCAAGAATCTGGTCAAGGAGGGGAACGAAGTACGGCCGCGGCCGCGCAGCGCCTCCAGAACCAGCAGGAACAGCACCAGTACCCCTAGCGGCAGCACCAGCGCCAGCAGCACCTCCAGCTCCAACAGCGCCAACTCCACCACCCTCAGAAGTACCAGCGCCAGTAGCACCTCCAGCGCCAACACCCCCATCTGCTCCAGCTCCAGCAGCTCCAGCTCCAGCAAGACCGTCAGCTCCAATACCGCCAGCAGCTCCAGCAGTACCTCCAGCAGGACCAACTCCAGTAGCCCCAGCAGCACTCCCAGTCCCAGCAGCTCCAGTACCGCCAGTACGAGCACCTCCAGGACCAGCAGCAACAGTAGCACCTCCAGCTCCAGCAGCACGGCCGGGGCGCGCCAGTAGGAACAGTAGCAGCTCGACGGCGGCTCGGCGGCAGCGGCTTGGTTGTGGCGGCTTGACGGCGGCCTCGGCGGCTCGGTGGCTAGGCTCGGTGGCTCGGCGGCTCGGCTACCGGGCGGCTCGGCTGCTGGGCGGCTCGGCGGCTCGGCGGTTCGGCGACTCGGCGGCTCGGCGGCTCGGCGGCTCGGTAGGTCGGCGGCTCGGCTGCTTGGCGGCTGAAGGGGCCGTGAAGGGCGGCGATGGGGCCACTAGAGGCGGCGACAGGGCCGCGAAGGGCGGCGACGGGGCCGCTAGGGGCGGCTACGGGGCCGCGAAGGGCGGCGACGGGGCCGCTAGGGGCGGCGACGGGGCCGCTAGGGGCGGCAACGGGGCCGCTAGGGGCGGCGACGGGGCCGCTAGGGGCGGCGTCGGGGCCGCAAAGGGGCCGCGAGGGGCCTCGAAGGGCGGCGTCGGGGCCGCTAGGGGCGGCGACGGGGCCGCGAAGGGGTTGCGAGGGGTCTAGAGGGGCGGCGACGGGGCCGCGAAGGGGCTGCAAGGGGCCTAGAGGGGCGGCGACGGGGCCGCAAAGGACGGCGACGAGGCCGTAAGGGGTGGCGACGGGGCCGCTAAGGGTGGCGCGAGGGGCCATGAGAGGGGTGTCTAGGAGGGCGCGACAGGCCACTAAGGGCAGGGGACGCGACGTGAGGGCGGCCAACGGGGCGCGCCTCGGGCAGGGGCGACTCTGTCAAACATTATATATGTTGTAGTTGTTTAGGCTACAGTGGGTTAGCCTTTAAGGGGTACATAATTCTAGGTTTAGGTACTTGTACTCACTTCTCTCTCAATTCATTCATTCATTCTCTAACATGGTATACAGAGCAGGTCCTTCGCTAGGACCGATTTCTTAGGGCCCACCACTGCTGACTGCCTACTAGCGCCCTCGTGTGCCTCACTGTCGGAGCGCCCTCGAGCGCCTCCCCCAGCGTCCCTCTTTTAACGGCCCCTTAGCGACCCGCGCGCCGCCCCTTAGAGGCCCCGTCGGCCCGTCGACCCCGAGCGCGCCCCACCTAAAGGCCCCGTCGGCCCCACCTAGAGGCCCCGTCGGCCCGCGCGCCCCACCTAGAGGCCCCGTCGGCCCCACCTAGTGGCCCCGTCAGCCCGCGCGCCCCACCTAGAGGCCCCGTCGGCCCCACCTAGAGGCCCCGTCGGCCCGTCGACCCCGCGCACGCCCCTCCTAGAGGCCCCGTTGGCCCCGCCTAGAGGCCCCGCTGGCCCTGTCGACCCCACGTGCGCCCCGCCTAGAGGCCCCGCTGGCCCCGTCCACCCCGCGCGCCGTCCCTTAGCGGCCCCGTCAGCCCCGTAGACCCCGCGCGCCCACCCCTTAGCGGCCCCGTCGACCCCACGCGCCGCCCCTTAGCGCCCCGCACGCGACAGCCATGGCCCCGCCAGAACCAGGCCACCCGAACCGAGCCGCCCAGCCCGATCCGAGCCGCGCCGCCCGAACCGAGCCGCGCCGCCCTACCTGAACCGAACCGCGCCGCCCGTACTGAGCAGCCTTTCTGTACCGAGCTGCCGTACCTGAGTCGCGCTACCTACTGCTTTTAGGGTGCACCTACTGCTACTGCTCCTTCTACTATACTGCTGCTCCTACTGCTACTATGGCTAGCCCTCCTGTGCTAGCTTTCGATACTGAGGGCCGCCCAGTGAAGTTTGACACCTGGCTAGATGACCTGCACCTCTTCCTACAGCTCACTGCCAAGGAGGACATCTCACTGTACAATCACGCCCTAGGCCATGCCACTGCCCCTGCTGCTACTGCTGACAGCACTGCCCGCTCACAGTGGCAGACTCGTGACGCCCACGCTCGCTTTGCTATTCGCAACTCCCTGCCGATAGATGAGCGCGAGCACTTTGGCCAGCACAAGACTGCACAGGCACTGTACACAGCTGACGTTGCCCGCTACTCCTCACCTGCCTCTGCTGCGCTAGGCCGTCTCTCACTCCCCTACCTGTTCCCCGACCTCGCCTCCTTCCACACAGTCGCTGACCTTATCACGCACCTCCGTACTAGTGAGGCCCGCTTCCGTGCCGCTATGCCTGATGAGTTTCTTGCCACGAACCCCCCCCCGCTCTGGCTCACTCTCTACCACCTAGTTACCCGCCTCCCTGACACTCTGCGTGCAGTCAAGGACCACTTCCTAGCTCGCTGCCCCACTGAGCTCACCATTGCCCTCCTCGAGAAGGAACTACTTGCAGCTGAGGCTAGCATAGTCGCTGTAGGTGCCTCTCGTGGCGACCCCCGCACCCCTTTCTTCGAGGGGTGTTCCCCTTCCCCCCTTCTTCCCTTTGTAGCCTCTGCTTCTGCTGTCGACCTCCTTGGTGCTGAGAAGGTCGGGACTGCGTCTGCTTTGAGATGGCGCCGCAGCGGCAAGGGCAAAGGGGGCAAGGGAGGCGGAGGTGACGGCGGGGGAGGCGGTGATGGGGGTGGTGGTGGCGGTGGGGGTGGTGGTGGGGCTGGAGGGGCTAGTGGCAGCGGTTGGGGTGGTGGCGACAGCGGCGGGGGAGGTGGCAGGGGCGGGGGTGGTGGTAAGGGCGGCGGTGGACGCGGCAGCGGCAGGGGAGGGGGTGGTCGAGGAGTTGGCGGCGGCAGTGGTGGTCGTGGAGGCGCTGGCAGTGGCCAGAGCCAGCAGCACACTCCGTCGCCCCAGGAGCTCCGTGAGTGGTACTCTCAGCACGGGGGGGGGAGGGGGGGGGGGGTGGCCTTAGCTGCACGTACGTTATCCGCACTGGTGACCGCACTGGTCAGACGTGTGGGAGGGCTCACCCCACGCAGCGCTACTTCTCTCGCCTCGACGACGCTTGGCGCACTCAGTTTCCTGAGGCCACTGAGCTGCCCCGCTGGGCTGATCTGATGAAGAAAAACATTGATATCTTTGCACTAGACTTTGATGCTATTCTCACCGCCATGTATGTGATGTCTGTTAGTGGTGAGGGTGCTCAGTACCTGCGTGTTCCGCCCGATCCGGGCATTCGGACCAGTGAGGCTGCCGCTCTAGGTGCTAGAGTGTCTGCTACCCCAGGTGCTGGTGAGGCTACCGCTCTAGCTGCTAGTGAGTCTGCGCCCCCTGGTACTGAGCCGACTGAGGCACTGCACACCTTCACACTGGACTCAGGTGCTTCCCGCTGTTTCTTTCGTGACCGCACGGCCCTTGAGCAGCTTGCTCGGCCAGTTGCAGTCTCCCTCGCTGACCCCTCTGGGGGTCCGGTCCTTGCGACCTCCTCCACTGTCCTCCCCTGTCCTGCGGTCCCGTCGGGCACACTGTCAGGTCTCTACCTCCCCTCGTTCTCTACGAACTTGGTGGCGGGTAGTGCGCTCCAGGACGGTGGTGTCCACCAGTTCACCCCTGCCTACGAGCGCGTGACACACTGCACGTGTGCTCGGACGGGCCGTCACCTGGCTACCTTCACACGGCAGCCGGGGTCGGACCTGTACACACTGACCACTGAGTCCCCTCAGGTAGCTGCGTCTGCGTCTGCGTCAGGTCAGCTTTCGGCCCCCTGCTCGTGTCGCTCTCTGGCGCACGAGACCGTCCTCTGGCACCACCGACTTGGTCACCCGTCCGTGCAGCGCCTTCGGGCCATGCACATACGGTACCTTGTCTCTGGTCTTCCCAGGGTTCTCCCTCCCCTCCCACCCTCGCCTGCTCCTCCCTACCTTCCCTGTGTCGAGGGGCGGCAGCGCGCCGCTCCTCACTCCTCCTCGTTTCCCCCGACGACTGCTCCCTTGCAGACGCTCCACATGGACGTGTGGGGCCCAGCCCGCGTCCGTGGTCAGGGTCAGGAGAGGTACTTCCTGATAGTTGTTGACGACTACTCGCGCTACACCACGGTCTTCCCCTTGCGCACCAAGGGTGAGGTCCCTGATGTTTTGATCCCTTGGATCCGCGCTTTACGTCTCCAGCTCAGCGAGCGTTTCCACTCGGACTATCCTGTCCTGCGCTTGCACTCTGACAGAGGTGGTGAGTTCTCCTCCGACCTCTTGGCAGCCTACTGTGCGGAGCACGGCATCCGCCAGTCGTTCACGCTTCCGGCCTCTCCACAGTAGAAAGGGGTTGCTGAGCGCCGCATTGGCTTGGTCATGGAGGTCGCTCGTACCTCCTAGATCCATGCGGCTACCCCCCACTTTCTGTGGCCGTTTGCGGTCCGATATGCTGCGCATCAGCTCAACCTCTGGCCCCGTGTCTCCTTGCCGGAGACATCCCCGACACTGCGTTGGACGGGAGAGGTTGGCGATGCGTCGCATTTCCGGGTCTGGGGATCTCAAGCTTTTGTTCGCGATACGTCCGCGGACAAGCTCTCCTCCCGCGCTGTTCCTTGTGTCTTCCTTGGCTTTCTCCCGGACGCGTCTGGTTGGAAGTTTTACCACGCCACCTCGCGCCGTGTCCTGCCCTCTCAGGACGTCACTTTTGACGAGTCTGTGCCCTACTACCGCCTCTTCCCCTATCGCACTGCCCCGCTCCCCCCCCCTGCCTCTCTTCCTCGCGCCAAGTGCTGCTGTGGTAGACCCCCTCCCCCCTCAGGGTGCCGCTCTCTCAGGTGTGTCCCAGGTAGACCCGGTTGAGCCTGTCCAGGTAGCTGTCGACTCTCGTCCTGCTAGGGGTGCTGAGCCTGAGCGTGCGAAGCCTGGGGTTGTGGAGTCTGGGGGTGCTGAGCCTGGGGGTGCGGAGTCTGGGGGTGCTGAGCGTGGGGGTGCGGAGCCTGCGGGTGCTGAGTCTGGAGGTGCTGAGTATAGAGGTGCTGAGCCTGGGAGTGCTACACCTGGAGGAGCTCTCTCCTCACAGCAGCTGCGTGAGTGGTACTTACAGTACTGCAGCCTCAGGAGAGGTGCTTCTGGAGCTAGGAGTGATGCTGGAGCTAGGCCTAGTGCTTCCCCTCCTAGGCGGGAGCTGCCCTCTCCCCAGCGGCTCCGAGAGTGGTACGCACGGCGCTGCAGTCTCAGGAGTGGCGCTCCTTGTGCTGCGGACCCGAGCGTTGGAGCTGCTGCTGGTCCTGCTGACCCTGGAGTTGGAGCTGCTACTAGTGCTGAGGACCCGGGCGTTGGAGCTGCTGCTGGTGCTGTGGACCCTGGCGCTGGTGTCTCTTCTGGCTCTGGAGACACTGCACGGCCGCGGCCGTACTTCGTTCCGCTCCTTCAGCAGGTTCTTGGTCAGCCTCCTCCTCGTCGTCCTCCTCCGTCCTTAGAGTGTCCTCCGTCTGTCCAGTCGCAGTCACAGCTGCCGCCTTCCTCGCCCCTTCCTGGTCTTTCTCCCTACACTGGTCCGACAGGCAGTCTTACAGAGCGTCGTGAGTCAGAGTCTCGTCTTGTGTCGCCTGTGTCTCGTCCTGCGTCACCTGTTCGTGCTGCTCGCACTGCTAGCCGTGTTCCGCATGAGCGCCCTCCTGCTGTCCCCGGCACACACTATATGACTCTGCATCCTTCCACTGCTCCCCAGCGTGTCCCTCTCCCGTCTCCTCCTGCGTCCTCTCATCCTGCTCTTGCTGACACGGAGTCTGACTCCCTTCGTGCTACCAGCCCTACTACACGCGTCTCCTGGCTACTGTTGTCACTGACCCTTCCTTTGAGTCCGCTACTGCGTCTGCCTTAGTTGCTGAGCTTGTCGACTTTGCTGCCACCTGTCGTCTAGACTACGCCGCTAGCCTAGTTGCTGAGACTGAGTCTGTCTGTCCTCCGTCCGTCGGGGGTGAGTGTGCTCTTAGCACAGACGTTCTTAAAGGACAGGCAGGAGGAGTTTGAGTGCTTCGCCGCTGCTTTACCTCATCTCGTGTCCATGCTAGTTGCCCCTGAGGGAGATCC